GCAACGTGTAGGGTTCCAACTGCCAATGGCACAAGTCTGTTGATAAGTCAGGATGATTTATTTGGAAAGGATGCATACGCGCTCCCCTCCTTACTGGCTCCGCCATTGTCCCAAGGAGAGAACAGTGTTTTTAGGGGCTTTCGCATTTTGGGGGGCTCGAAGGTGCTGTGGAATCCCGCCAGGGACACGGTAACTCGAAATGGCATCCCCTCCCCATGATAACCAAGGGGAAATGTTTCAAGTTTGGCCAAGAGGGTGAAGTGGCCTCCGGTGGGTTTTACGCCCAGGTCCTGCGGGAACCCCAACCCCCCAAAGGGCACGCCAACTTCCCACGAGAATGCCCAGGAAGAACTTCTTCGCTTCCGTTTTTTCCCCCCGACCCCTCCTAATAATTCTGTGTTCGACCGCCACGACCTACATTCTCCCGCGAGCGCCCAGAGCTGCGGAATAACAAGGGAATTTAAACGACACAACAGTTCGGCAGCCCGTAGGTCTGCGTTTTGCTGCGCTCTGCGGGGGTTCGCATCCGGCCGCCATGTTCACGACTCGAGAGCCGCCCCCAAACCAACCCCCCTTCCCACATCCCTCGGCTCCCCTCCCTCCCTCCCTCCCGGCTCAGCCGAGGCCGCCGTGGCGCTGCAAAGCCGCTTTCAACTCTACCCCCCACCCCCTCGCAGCAAAATCCGACTCGACGGCTGCGGGGTGTGCGCCTGCGCACGGTGGACGCGGGAGTGGGGGTGGCGAGGGGGGGAATCCTACGACCCCCGGCCGCGGCTTGAAAAGGCAGGAGCCACGGGGAGCGGGGGAGGGGTTGGGGCCTGGGCCTGAGCCTCCTCTTTCCTCCCAGCGGGTCCCTGCTCAGGCCCTGGCCCGGCTCTCACACGTGCGCGCTAAAAACCCACTTCAAAGTCTGTTCCCGGCGCGGGGGCGGCCCCCTTTGGGCCCGCACTCGGGCTCCGGCTCGGGCTGCCAACCGGGCTCTGGGCCTTGCCGCCCCTTCCATCCCAGGCGCTGCGGAGATACCGGAGCGCCAGCGATGAACCCCGGGAGCCGCGAGTGGCCTTCTTGTAGACGAGTACCACCCTCCCCACCCGGACCCCACCCCCACCGCTTTAGAAAAATGAATTGAACACAAAGTTTGCGGCCAGCGCTACGCTATGGCCTTCGGAGCTCACCATTGTTTGGGCTCGTATTGACCCCAGGTCCGGATTAGGCTGCGGCTGATTCCTGCTTTACAGCCGTGCCGGCCTAATGAGGCCGGGAGGCGATGGGGCGCGAAGCGTCCTCGGAGCCCAGGCGACCGTCAGCTTACGGCCGCCAAGGGCCCTGTAGGTGGAGGTCAAAGGGTCAGCGGGCAGAGACCTCGAGAGAATTGACCCTAGGAAATGAGGTCCCCTCCTCCCCGCCCGAGCCTCAACCAGGACTTGCAAGAATTTGGTGTGTGGACACGGATCCTGAACGTCCCAACTAGGGGCCTGAGGACTGTCGGACCACTGTCGCGACTTCCGAAATGTCTGGCCGCGTCCCGGGCCAAAGTCCGACGGGAGACCTGGGCTTGGAAGGGCAGAGGCTTGTCAGAGAAAACCAGCCTAGGTGTCAGGAGAACCAGAGCACACCTCCTTCAGTGTATGGGCACACTGATGGCGATTTTTTCAGAAACGTAATGTGTTAAGAGCCCCCTTAGACTTTCTCTGGTTTGTTTTCGGGAGATTGTCTTAGAAAACGGGAAGAGGGAGCCGGAGGCGACAGAAGCAAAGAGAAATCAGGCGGGGAGAAGGGGGGAGGGGCGAGAAAGTCCAGAACACACCAACTTTCCAGGGAGCCTTTGTGAGCAGAAGTCTCCAACCTTCATCCTAGCTAAGACCGACTGCTCTGCTTAGCCTGGATCCTGATCTTTAACCTTCCCAACTGGATGAAGGCCAGACTTGTCTTGCGTGGAAACAGCTCTGCAAATAGCCACCTCCTCTTTCCCCACTAAACAGTGGGAATCACCCATTTTGAAAAAGATAATGGACTTTAACAAAGGTCCTACCAGGTGCAGGAAGGAAAAAAAGGAGTAGATTACTAAAAGCCTAGCCCCAGCTACTAGCTTTAGCATTTATTATTGGGGGAAGAGGGATTGTTGTGCTTGTTCTTTAAATTATTTCCTGAAAATTCAAGAATGTAAATGTGCATTCCCAGAATCAGACTATGAGAAGACTATCTGTATAAAGTTTTCTATAAGATTAATGTGTTCTTTGAAAAATGAGAAGGACGTACGACATACTTTTGAGAAATTTGCTGTGCCCAAATTAGAGGTAGTCATGTAGAAGAGCAAACTTTTATATTCTCTTAATATTGGTTACCCATCATTGCTATTTAATTGGCATTTTCCTCTGTTAGGACATTCACAATGCTTTCCTGTGAATTTTGTGGTGATTTCAAGCAACTAAGAAAAGAGGAAATTGTCTCCTAAGGAGATATTTAATATATTTAATTGGGGAAGGCAACTTTCTGAGTGAATCTTGCCCCAACCCATCTTCTTTTAAGGTTAAGTTAGGTTGGGGGTTGGGGGAGACTCATGGAGAAAATAGTAAACTGTGAAAGTTCATTGCATATGTTAGGAGAAAAGCACACATTTATATTTCACAATGGCACACATTTAAAGCTAGTCTTATGAATATACACTTTCCGAAAACTTGATGAGAAAACTTGATGAGCGTTTAAAATGGTCTCCAGTTTGAAGTGAAGGAAAAATCCTGAAACAGGAATCTGGTTCAGCACCTTCAATGTCAAGGTCAAGAATGGAATGTCTGGGTGGGGAGTGGTAGATTGACCTGGTTACCTGCTCATAAGTGGAGTCATCCCAATCTCTCTGTTCCTGACATTCACACAGCCTTGGATATAGGTGGAGTAAAGTGCAAAAGACCCCATTCTCCACTAACAAAAAATTGCCTCCAAAGTAATTCGCAATTAGAAACTGTCAATAATTGTCTGTTGACAAAGATCAGCAGATAACAAAACAGATTGCTTCAACTGTATCCAGGGAATCAGAGTTTCTTTTAATCATCAGAAATTCTCTAAGCATTTCAATTTTTGGTTGATTTATTTGAACATGAAAAAAAATATTGGGCACCAAATACAAAAATGTTATAACATAAATAAGATGTGCCAATACTTTATTTCTTCAAAAAGAACAATCAACAAAATTCTAGAATTGAAAATCATTATATATAATACCAAATTGACTGCCACCAAAAAACTCAGAGCATTGCCCCTTAAAGAGAAAGAGGTACTTAAGCCTATTCATTACATTTCTAAATACTTTACAATTCCTTATCTCCACCTTCTGTAATTCATGCAGAGATTGGGCTCTCAATAACAAACAGCACCCTAATAAAAAGGTCTCAACACTCTACCCACTCGAACCCCCCAAAATAGTAATCAATTTCTTTTCCACAGAACCATTGTAAAAAGAACTGCTTGTCCAAAGGAGTTGCTTCACTGAAGATTAAATGGATTGTTAACATTTTATCACAAAGCAAACAACCATTTTTCATTGTTATTGATTTTAATGGAAACAATGCTCTTAACATCTTTGCCTACAAATAATGAACTTTAAAAATAACATATTTTGCAAATGTTTTCTTTCCATAGTATCATTTTGGAACTGCTGCAGTTATTACACCGCTATATAAATGTTATGAAAAATTGTGATAATTATGAATTGAACTATATACAGCAAACAAATCAGCCTTTGCCTTCCAATATTTAAATGGACTATGGTTCTTTTAAGAAGCACTTTCACCATAAGTAAGCACTGCTCAACTGGTCTTGCTCATCACCACTGTTCCAGACATACACTATCTTTAGAAAATATATAGAGCTAGATAGATTTGATAGGCAGATTAGATAAATTCATAGATACAAACGCATATAGGTACATGGATGATCTCTAGATAGAACAGACATGCATCCTGCCGCAATTTTCATTTTTATGTAAGGTAATAAAGAACTAAGGGACATAAAGCTAATTAGGTTACCTTATGTTTATATATGTAGGGCAGGGATGATTAAATCCAGCTTCTCAGTCTTTGAAGTACAAGATTGAGATGTCATGGCCACTAACTGAATTGATCAGTAATATTTGATTTGCATGCCGAAAATCCAGGACAAACACATTTAAACTCGCAGTTAAACAACCATCTGAGCTAGAGATAAAGAAAAGAGGGTCCTCCCAGATGGAAACTGACACTATAAGGAATCTATACTGCAATAGAAAAATAATTTAACAATTAAAAAAGGGATCTGAGTGAGTTATAAATACCAACAAACAAGATTCAATTTGCTCATTCTCCTCTTTGTAGAAGGAGGCTGTTACAAAACAAGAGAAAAGAGTCAGTGGTTCAAAAATTGTAAATTGTGTTCTTCTTTCAAAACAATAAATTTTTAATGCTAAAGCAGTTATAATCAAAAGCTGTACAGAATTTGTTAGAAAACATTTATCCATAAATATTGTTCAGTTCCCGGCACTTGCAGCAATAATTAAATTACAAACGATAAATATGGCATCAACGGATATGTATTTACAAAAAAAAAGTTATTACAAAAGGCAACTGTATACTAAACGTCACAATCTGTGTAGAGTAACATCATATCCTCAGCCTGAAAAAATACTGAACAGTTTCGACCCCATTAGACAAAGATACATTCACAAGTGTAATGCTTTGAAGAAAAAGTTCAAGACATAACAGGACTTTGGCATGGTTTAAGACTGTGAGAGTTTAAACAATCACCATTAAGGCGAAGAAGAAATTCCATCAGTTTTAACATCACCACCACCAAGCCTTCTATAACTTCCTCAAGAAACAGGACAAATGTTAAAATGAACTGAAGGAGTCTCAGAATGGGGTATGCAGAGAGCAAGAGGAAGGGGAGAAAAAAAGCAGTGAAAAGATTTTGTAAAAAATCCTTCAAATGCCAAAATGTATTTTCTAATCCTGAGAAAAGGGCATGGCTACTTTGGGATTTTGCCCAAAACCTTCCTGGACAATTGCAATTAACAAGATGTAGCCCTATGTATGGCCTCTTGCTTTAAAACTCCATTTCCATCTGATTGGTCTCAGTTTTCTTTTTAAAATGCATTTTGGTTGTCCTCAGACGTACCATTCGTTAAAATTGGGAGGAAGTCCAGGGTTGTGGCTGGTGCTAGTTTGAACTGCAGAAGGGGTTTTAGTGGTATCTTTACTGTTTGCAGAAGCTATAGCGGGTGGAGTGGAAGATTCATAGCCTGAACTGGCAGCAGGGGAGGAATCTGACCCTTGAGATTCATGAACCTAAAATTAACATGTATATATTATAATGAATATAATTCCAACCGGCAATGTGCAAGCAAAAACAAGAGCAGAATTTGAGCACTGTAAGAGCAAGACCGCCCAGTGACCCACTTAAGAGAAACATTTTTTTTTTTTTTTGCTGCTGTTGTTTTGTTTTTATTTTTATTTTCCATATTACCCATGTCTAGAAAACCCGGACATATTCGTCAAAAACGAGGTTCTATACTAAGGCATTATGGAAAAGGAATAAAGCACTCCATTTTAGTCCTGCCACTTCAAAAATGCTGACTCCGTGGATGGAGTAGGTGAGCAGTTACTCTGAGGGACCCCATAAAATAGTCACTCCCAGCCCAGGTTTCACCAAGCCGCTTCCGGCTTGGGAAAGCAGGTATAGAGAAGAGTGGCACAGGGACCCTGGACGCTGCCTGCCAAGTCTTTAGACAAATGTGTGGGAATCAGACCGCGCTCCTCGGCCCCATTGTTTTATCCAAAGCCGAAGAGCAAATGAACGACCCTCCCCCGGGTTCGGCGCGGCCACTCTCCATTCCCACCGCAGGCTGAGCCGGCAAGAGGCGGCCACTGCAGCCTCAAGCCCAGGCGAGCTCGGCTAGAGCTTCCCAGAAAACAACTGATAGTTCCTCCACTCTCTCCCCCTCCCAACTCTGCTCTCTCCTGCCCCCCCCATCCCCAAAATGGGTTCAAGGTGTCACCGCTGCAGCAAATCGGATTTAACGTGGAGGACAGAGGGTTGGCAGCGCGGGCGCTTCCGTTCCGCGGCCCAGTGTCGGGCCGGGTGTTTACAAACCGCCGACCGCTAATAAAGAGGTAATTACCTTCATGTGTTTGCGCAGGGAGCTCGGGTGCGTGTAAGACTTGTCGCACACTTTGCAGATATAGGGCTTATCCGAGGTGTGCACATGCATGTGCTTCTTGCGGTCGCTGCTGTTGGCAAAGCGTCTGTCACAGCCTTCAAATTCACATTTGAAAGGTTTCTCACCTGCAAAATGTAATAATGCAAAAGAGAGAAAATAGTCAGGGCCGGGAGCTTCCCAGAGAGGAGCAGTGCGAGACTGAGAGCCCAGCAGTCTTCCTGGAGGGAATGCAAACTAGGGGAGACTGGGACATCATTTTTTCCCTGGAGAAAAAATGGAGAGTGTTGGTTGAGTCCGCTGGGCTGGGAAGGAACGGGGCGGGAGTGGGGCAGGGCCGGCCCAGAACCTGATCATCCCTTTGTTCTCGCAGGACAAGAAAGCTCCTGGCTCCTCAGAAGTTTCCCCCAACTTGTGGTTCCACTCCACCGGGCCATGTTCAGCCACCACCACGGCGATGTAACCGAGCCCGGCGGGACAATGGATCGGGGATGGGACAATCCCATTCAGTCGCTTCTTTGTACCTTTTAATTTGCCTCTTTCACATGTAGCGGTTTTGTCAAGTCCAGTATTAAAAAGCCTGGGCAGTGGTACTTAGTGTTCGAAAACAGAAAAAATACATAAATCCAGGGGCTATAGACAGTTTTACAAGATGCTCTGAACAAGCCACGAAACTGTGGTGCCTTTTCTACTTTAGCTTTCCTCCCGGAGGACTGAACTGAACCAGGAACTCCAAATAAAAATAGTTTGACAAAAGTATCAGTCATTTAATTAGGAGATGTGCCAATCAAGTGTAAAAAAGAGCGGAAGTATCCGAAAGTTAGTTTTCATTAGCATTTCTATGGTTGCCTTCCTAGAATGTGTGCCGAGAGGCTAAATCGCTTGTAAGCAATACGCTCTCAACACATTCGGAGTCTCTTCATAGTAACCCAGAAAGGGATACAAAAAGAGGCGGCGCCAGTTTGTTCCAGGGCGCGAGGAGGTCCCAATTAGTTCCTGAGACTGCAGAGCAGTCGGCCCGAGAAGTTTGAACCGGGCAAAAGTGCCTCAGGTCGGGGTGGGCCGGGATGGAGGGGCACTGACAGCGCTTCACTCCGGAACGGCCTTGGCGGGGCGCCGCCCCTCTTCTTGGCGTTCACCCTTGCACCCTGCCTTCCAAGTCCGCTCGGTAGCCGGGTTCCCCTAGCGAACCCCTCACCCACCTGTCTTTCCCCTTACCTGTGTGGGTCCTCTTGTGGATCTTGAGGTTCTCAGAGCGGGCAAAAATCTTCCCGCATCCCGGGAAGGGGCACGGGAAGGGCTTCTCGCCCGTGTGTACTCGGATGTGGTTGACCAGTTTGTACTTCGCCTTGAAGGACTTGCCCTCGCGGGGGCACTCCTCCCAATAACAGACGTGGTTGTTCTGCTCCGGGCCCCCCACATGCTCCATGGTGACATGCGTCACCAGTTCATGCATGGTGCTGAAGGTCCGGTCGCAGCTCTTCTTGGGCCGGCTTAGTTGAGCTTCGTCGATCCACTTGCACGACAGCTCCTGCTTGATGGGCTGCCGCATATAACGGAAGAAGGCGCCCGGCCCATGGTGGGCCGCCACGTTCACTCCCATGTTCATGTTCATGGGGCTATAGTTGGGAAACTGCGCGCTGGCCGCATAAGGGTCCGTGCGCGGGCTGGCCACCGGGCGGTAAGGGTCAGGACGGCCAAACAGCTCTCCACGCAGCCCCAGGTGGACCTGGTTGTTGTCCACGTGCCCTGTGGGCGACGGGTGCCCAGCGCCCTGCTCATGCAGCCCGGGAAAGAGCAAGTAACCAGGGGGCTCAGGAATACCAGCTGGAGCGTGCAGGCTACTAGCGGAGCCAGCAAAGAGCCCGTGCTGCCCGCTTCCCGAGGCTGCCTCGCTGAGCCCAGAGCCGCGCTGGCGGAAAAGAAAGTCGCGCGTGGAGTTGAAGGCAGCGGACGCTGCGCCGCCGTAGCTGGGTACCTGGCTGGCATGATGATGGTGATGGTGGTGGTGATGGTGGCTCAGGGCGTTGGCGTAGCCCGAACCCTGCGGCGTGAAAGCCGAGCTCTGGCTGGAAGACAGATCGTGTGCCGCGGCCGGGCTGAGCTTGAAGGCAGCAGCGGCAGCAGCGGCGGCGGCAGCGTGGGTTGAGTCCCCGAAGGGATTCAACCCCATGCCCGCCGGCTCGCGGTTGGGCATCTCGTGGTGGCGCGGCGCGCCAAAGCTGCCCACTCCCAGCCCGGGGAACTGCGGGCCTCCGTCCAGGAGCATCGTCATAGGTGGGGCGTTCTGGACACGGGCGATCCGGTTTAAGTGAGCAAGGGTGCAGGAGAGGGAGATTTTCGAAGTGCCGTAGTGCCGTAGGGATGGCGGCAGCCGGATACAACTAGGACACCGCCAAGGCGCTACCAGGAGCCGCAACTTTCCGTGGCTGCGAGAGTCTCCTGCAGAGGGATAGGAGGGAGGAGGGGAAGAAAAAAGGGGGGTGGGTTTGAGGGAAAAGGAGGAGGGAGGAGAAAGGAGGAGGAAAGACTCTGGGAGTAGACCTGGTTTAACAAACTAACAGGAGCGCACAAAGAAAAATAAGCTAAATAATAAGTGGAGGGCGGGGTTTGCCAATCCTGTCCCGGGCACCCCTCCTCTACCCGAGAGCGCGGAACCCTGGGGCCAGGAGGCTGGATACCGGCCTCCCGGCTGGGCCGCTCCAAATAGCGGAGCCCGATCGCGGCCGACAGGCGGGCAGCGGGCAGCAGGCAGGCTCGATCTTCGCTGCTCCCCTCGCGAGTCCCAGCCTCTTCGCCTCCAGAGTAATGTCCTTGGACTGATAAAGTCAATCACTCACTCCTCTCACATAAACCGAGCGGGAGGCCGGGCGGCGCGCGCCAATGGGGAACCAGCTGGCCTACGGTCACCTGACCCCCGGCCCGGCCGCCCATTGGCCGCCGCCACACTGATTGACAACGCGGAGCGGAGAACATGGCAGCCGGGGTAGAGCGACCGCAGCTGATTGGGCAGCTGCCGGGCGCCTGGCAGGTGAGGCGGCGGCTGCCTGGTGTCCGCGAGTGGGCTGTGCGGCTGTGGGGAGCTGGAGCCAGGCTTCAGCCGGCAAGTGGCGGGGCGGAGCTGGGCCTCTCTGTGACTTCGTCTCGGCCCCAAGCGGGCCCCAAGCACCCCTGGCGCGCCCTTTACCCGCTTTGGCTAAAGAAACTCTTTGCCCTGTGAGGATCTTTTCCACCGCCGCGCCCGTTCGACGTCCAGTCCCGCTTGCGCCCCCCCCCCCCCGCAACCTCACCACCTTGAGAACGTTCTTCCTTGGTAGCCGCAGGGCGCAAATGCCAGCGTGAGCGTAGCAGTTCCGCGCTCCTGGCCCAGCTGCTGCTTCCCCCTCACACGCCACTACGAGTATAAGGTCCCAAGACCCCAGACCCAGGCCGGGCCATCTCCCTGCCCGTGGCCCCAGCTGGCGGCAGCGGTCCAAGGCCCAAACGCGAAGAAACGATTGTAATTAGACCCGATTTCCTATACTTCCTTCTGAACCAAGCTTTGACCCTTTAGTTTGTGAGTAGCTGTTTTACTCGCCGATACTCACTTCCCCCAGCACACACCAGACACAACACAGCAAACGTACAACACAATAAACTTAAGCGCACAGCAGGAAACACGAACGCAGCACAGTAAACACAAGCACGCCACATGAAACACAACACTAAACATGTGCACAACCAATAACAACGCTACACACAACACAATAAGCACAGGCACACAACTAGACACAATAGAGTAAATACACATACATAATACCAAACACGCACAAATACTAGACACGCACAGAACACATTGTACGCAAAACACAACACACTAACACATAGTAAACACACTAGACCCACACGGAATCAGCGTGGTTTCCGTATCACTGGGCTAATCAGCTTTGAATTCTCAACATTTTCAAACGCAAAAGCAGGGAGGGGGAATGGGGACTGTGAGATGGAATTTTCTTCCCTCTGAAGCCTGAGCTTTGCTCTCTTCTACTCCTACCGGGGAAAGCACGTAGTGACCTAGGGAACTGCTTACCCCTTAAGGATTTACTTTCCCTGGGCGTGTGTTGGAGTCGCCCCCCGCCGCCGCCCTCCGTCTGGTGCAAGGTCTTTCTTGGACAAAAATGACCAGGTTCAGACAGGGTTATAATTCCACTCAATTTTCTGTCTGCCAAGGCATTTGCAAAGAATGTAGGAGAATGAGAGTAGGAAAAAAGACCGAGAGAAAGATGGCTGTGATTGTCACATCTCTAGCGGGGCAGAGCCCCAAAGTCTGCGCCTTGAGGCAGCCTCACAGGCTGGCCGCCATCTCTCTGTAGGAAACAGAACATCTGATCAAGTTCAGAGGCGCCAGGAGAGACCGCCTCAAGCAGCGCTTTGTAACTGCAGTCTTTCACTTCCTGCCCCCCAATCTGCCTGGCCTGACCAACACTTCACTACCTTCTTTGCCAGTTTGCTGGGGGAAAACCCTGAGGATACCACATCATACTGTAGTCGCCCCTTCCCATCAAACTCGCCCCAATCTCCCTCCACTTCCAGAGCTCTCTCCCCAGGTTGGAAGGTGAGTTCACTGCTGACTTAAATTATTGCATCTACCGAAAACAGGCTCTCCAAGAAGGGTTTCATTGTCGCTCAGCAGAGGGTTTCTTTGCGGGGCTGGGGGTGTTTCAAAGAAGAATAAATATGCTTAAATCATGCAAATGAATTCCCTAGAGTCAGGTTTATAAAAAGGGAAGATTGCTTTTCTTTCTTTTCCCTTTCTCTTCATTTTCCCCTTTCTTTCCTTCCTTCCTTCCCTCTACCTCTCTTTACCTCCCATCACCCCCCACCGACCCTGGGCATGTAGCTGGTTGGGAAAAGTTTGGATTTCCTCAGAGCCCTTTCTGGGAGAGTGATTCTTCAGGTTTGGGGACCGGGAGGGGGCGGTTGTCCTGCTTTGGCCGGGTCAACCCTCAGCGAGAATTTCCGGGTGTCCCAGCTGGTACCTGGATAAACGAGGGCCTTGCGCGCTTGGGAGTCAGGGAAGGCAACCCCGCAAGGGAACGCAGAAGGGGAGCTGCCGCGAGAGCCTAGCATTCTCCTTTTTTTGGGGAGGAGTCTCGAACGCAGGGCTTGAGGATGTTGCCGCATCTGACCTACCGGGTACCCAATGTCCGTTTTGATGCAGCCACATTTCGATAATTAATTGCCTCCAGCACGTGCTCTGTAGTCCCTGGAACAAAAAGGCATAATTCAATTAGATCATCAGCCGAGAAGTGGGGAGGTGGGGGGGGGGTGCTTGTTAAGGGGCAGACCTGAGGCAGTTCAGCTAGGCCAAAACCCTGGGTGGTGGAGCTCTTCCCCCAGCAGCCCGGCCCATCCCGAGTGTGTGGTTCTGAGGGGGTGTCCTTACTTAGTGAAGCGCTGGGGTCCAGGATGCCCCCAAAGGGAGGAGGAGGCTGGGGGCTTTGTGAACAGCAGGGTAGAGTCAGACCATTTCGAATTCCTGTTTCGCTTGGTCTGGGCAGGGCTTTCCTTTTTGGGGAAGGGGAACCCTGACTCTTAAAACTCGGATAGAAAGCGACATCTCTCCAGAAATTGCAAATCACCGCATGAGAGGGGGGAGAAGAAAAGCACCCCCCACCACTCAAAAGCAAATCACTGCTAAGGCGAGGGAAAAAAAGTTAAGTGGTTTCCCCTCCTCCCCAAACACGGTTTTTGGAGGACACCCTGAGAACAACTTGGGGGGACAGGAGGCTTTGGGAATCTAAGTCTGAGAGCAGGGTGATGGCTCAGACAGGAAAGCGAGAAGGAGAAAAGTTTTTGCACACAGCCTAGGACCAGGCAGGAGAGAGCTCTCCTCTTTTCATTTTTCAGGTGGAGAGAGGAATCACAGCGCTGGGAAGGGCAGGACCACTGGAACCCCGGTGGTGATTTTTTTTTTTCCGCTATAACCGAGGCTCCCTCAACAGCTTTGGCTTACTGGGGTTTACAAGTGTATTAGGTAGCCTAAATTAACCAATAAATCTCTTTTATGCATCCCCCACTTGTCTGTATGGATAGGAAATATAATGGAATCCTTTCCCTCACACTGGGTTCAAATAGTAAATAGGAAAAAGATTTATTTTTATCCCCATATCTAAAGCAATAAATAAAACTAGAGAAACTGATCATTGCCAAACTAGCTCAGTTTTTGAGTCCGATTTTTAGGATCTATCCTGAAGAAGTAGGAGGAAAAGAGAATATCTTAGGGATAGTAGGATAGAACTGGTTTCTCCGAACAACCCAGAACCCCCATCTACAGCGCTTTGCCTTTCCTTCCAGCCTCCTGAAGAACAAAACATGTATAGCACATTGTGTTATCATGCAGGACTTCTTTCTAAACCCATTTTCTGTGGTGGACTTGAAATGATCCTAACTCGGAGACCTAGCGATTTTCTTTAAGTCCAAGGGAAACACTGCGGTCTTTTCTTCTGTTTTGTATTTAGAAAAGACTTGCAATCTAACACTCCCAACATTTTAAAGACCCTTTAAACCCAGCAAGCGGATTTCCGTTCTGTCAATGCTTCCTGATTTATTTCAATAAATGAATCTTTGAATTCAGGAAGGGAATTATTCCAAGAAGCTGAATTTGGTGCCCCTGCCTCTCCCTAGTAGAGCACAAAGTATTTCTCGTTGAAACATGTCCTTGAAACTCACCATTATTCTCACTTTTTTCCCCTGGTAAAGGACACTTTCTTTACATAAATGCCTACCCTCTCTTTAGAGTTCCAGATCTTTTAAAAAGAAAAACTGCAAATGGCAATAAAAAATGAAGGGGGAAGAAAGCTGGGGAAAGAATGCATTTTTAACTCCTCTTTATTTTTATGCTAAGATAAAGCTCTTAATTGGCTTCGGAGGCTGAGCTGAACGATCTCTGGGACCTGCGGACACACTCTCCAATCCCTCGCTGAGCTCCAGATTTTATTGACTACATGAGAGTTTTCACTATAGTCCTATCATTTGACAAATATTATATAAGCCCTCAATACCTCTAAAATTCAATAGAGAAGGAACAAATAGATATTGTTTATGGAACCTTTTTACATATCTGTTTTGTCTTTGTCCTCTGCAGTTCAAGGCATATTGTTGCCTAATGTAATGAAATGCAAACCAAACGAGAACGAGACATTTTCATTGTACTTGTCAATCAGGGCTGTGCAGACAGATATATACACTTGAACTTCAGAGACACAGGCTTAAGTAAATAGGGCTGAACTTGGAGAAGGAAAGCTGAGAGTTGAATTAGAGCTATTAGAGCTATCAGAATCCAGTTTGGGATTATGAGGGGAGTCCCTGAAATAGAAGAAGTGGAGTGAAACCCTAGGTGGCAGGCAGTGCTCATCAGCCAAGTGTGGGTGAAAGGCTCATAATGATCTGTGGTCCTGGCCCTCTGGGTCCTGTTACCAAAGAGTATCTTTACTGCTCTGTGGGTGTCCAGCTGTTAGCCTCCAGTAGCAGTGTAGCTCCTGGTGCCAGAAGGGCAAGAGGACATTCCCTTTCTAGATCAGAACACCTTAGAGGAGGGAAGTACCCAGGC